GACACAAAAAAAAAAAAAAAACACATCATAGTAAAATACCTTCTCAGCTTCGCATCGAAGCTAAAATAGCAGTACAAAGTAGAAATATTCAATCAAGTAGCTCATTCTCATCTCCAAACTCTAGTTTACAATCATCGTCACACTCAGGCTTTTCAACATATGATCGTCCAAGTTAATATGTTTTTCCAGAGATTACTGATCGTGAACCTGGAAGTTGGATTCAGCCATTTGGCGAAGAAAATTGTGAGCCATTTCAATACGACGATAGACAATGCGAATAAGCAAAATATTATTTATTTATTATTTCATTAAATAGGTATCTAATTTTATTTTATGGTTTATTATACAGTTAAAATTATTTTTATTAATTCTATTAAAAGATTAATTTTTTGTTTTTATTTTGTATATCTTTTCACAGCAATAATATTTGGGGTCTGAAAAAGTTATTATAAATTTTTTGTTTTATTATACCTTTACAATTTAAAAACTATGTTTGATTTCATCAAGTATATTTATTTTTAATAATTTTTGTTATAATGTATTGGCATTTTTAAAAGTTCTGACACGACTTACGTCGCAAAAATGTGGTCGACACTGGTTTTGAGGGTAGAGACCCGTGGGCCGTTTATTAAATGAGCGACAACACATTATGTTAACAAAAATAAAATAAACCGAAAGGATAAACACAGTAATAATAATCTTTGCATAATATCGCGGCACTTTCGCTGGCGTCGACGACGCGATGTCCGGCGTAATCCTTGGACGGCAAAATGGTTAGCAGCGTTGTAGGCGACGGTGCGCGGGTGCGGATCGGTTGGTCGACGTTGTCGCTTTCACAATGGGAGGAAGACTCCCCCATCATTTGCGGTGGGTCGTCGTCGGCTGTGCGGCATTTGCTGGACTTTGCACCGTAGCGTATAACACGCGGTGTTGGTCAGTCAAATACTCATAGTAGGGCGACGGCTGATAAAGGTGGCACGAGTCGCGGGGCATCGTGTTATAATACATACACCACTCATTATTCAGTAGTATATATGTTATTACCTATTAGTCATCAAATTAAAAATATTATTCATGTTAATACTTTAAACTATTCCAAGAAATATGTCTAAAAATACATTGATATAAATCTACTGTAATAATTATAAGAAATTCTTTAGTTGTGACAAATTATCTATTTTAAGTAAAATAATATGTAATAAATAACACAAATTGAGTAATAAACAGATAATAGTAAAAGGTCGTGACACTTCTTGCATAGATAGATGAATTAAATTTAATATAAAAGGGCATAAAAACTGTCAATCTCTCTCACTACCACTTCACCTTATGAACTTTTAACGAATGCAAGAAGTGGCTTGACAAAATACGATTTTACATAGAAAATTGAAGTATATTCATTTCTTTCAACATTAGTCCTGAAATTATTAAGGTAAATTCCTATTCAAAGTAAATATAATGAGTACATAAATTAAGTAGGAAACCAGAAAAAGTAAAGTGATCTCTAGAATAAAATATTGTCTAAATAAATAAAGAGAATCAATAACGTTTGTACGAAGTTAGCCAGCCTAGTCTAATCTTTGAGTGGGTTACCTGTGTGGTCAATACTAATAAAGACTCTCTTGCGAAGATAGAGAACCCACTTGTGGTTCCTATACTACTCGAGGTTTTTATTGACTCGACTCACAGTCAGCACAAGCCTAGATAACTACTGGTACGAGTGGCGTTGTTGATGATCTATGTGTGATAATTAATCACAATAATTTCTATTTAAAATTATTATTATATTAATAAATTTTCAAACATCACTTTGTTTTTCTATATTTTACATCTTCTAATATACCCTCGTACTCATATCCCGAGAGAAAATTATATTATATCATTTTCTTTATTCAATAAATATTATAGTAACTCAATTATTCTCATGCTCATATAATACCAACAAATATAAATAATTTTAATAAATTATCCTTTAATTACTAATAAAAATCTTCTTAATAATTTTCTCCTTTTATTTTGAGTTACTATAATCGTGTATAACGAAGCTACGCGGGCCGTGTCAGTTCCTATGTTTTTTTATACTGCATTGTTAATTTTGTATTAAACGAGAAGTTAAATATAATTTATGATCAATGAAAATGTTTTTATACACATTATTAAAAAATTAATATTAAGTACATAGGAACTTACTATAAAATATAAACATAAAATGAAAAACCCACATCTATAAAATTATTGAATTTTTGATATGTAAATACATATTTTGTAATACATATAAGTGTGTTTCTTCTGTGCATAACTAAGTCGAGACTCAGTCTACGTTTTTTACTGAAGACGTACACGAAATACGTATTTACTTATAAAAAAGTTCAATATTTTATAGATCTGAGTTTTTCATTTTATTAAAAATATCTATATAAGTTCTCTGTATAAAATTATACTGTAAACATATAAACAGTAAACATATTTTGTTACATTACCTGAGCGTAACTGTTAGCTTTTCAGCAGCAGTAATCGGTTTCCTAATTTTGATGCTAGGGTTGGTTCTTATGTCATCCTCAACTAGGTTCAATATATAATTAAATTGATCCCAGCTTAATCAAAAAAATTCTCTAAATTTGGTTTCGTCTTGCCATAAATGTGTTTCAACAAGGACACTAAAAAATCCTTCAGTTTCTCTGGCTAAGTACATTTCATGCACTTTTTCTTTATTTCTTGATAGAACGTATTTTACAATAGCTTGTTCTTCTTTTACTTGTTGTAAAAGAAGAGGTTTCAAAATACAACTTTGTACTTTAGTTGAGGACATATGTAAACTAATAATAATAATAATATTTTAAAACACACAAGTACAACTTAACTAAACAGAGTACTTGATACAAATGCGTGTACATGCCTTATTATTTACATATAATGTAATGATGGCGCGCGTCTCTTGACGCGTACATAGGAATAACACCTTAATAAAGTTAAAGCTAAAGGTAAGAACAGCCGAATTTTCTTCTATCAAATTGACTCAGAAACTTTTTATGAAAGTACAAGTAATTTTAATCACTGTTAGGTTTCCATTTATAAGTGTCAGCATTATCACCTTAATCGGTACTCAATTTTTTTTATACTATTACAAATTAATTTCTTTCAATCTAATTACATAGTTTAATTATTATTATTTCTTAAAATAATTACAACTATCAATTGTATACAATGTTTTTATTTAGCTATTCCTAGTATAGCAATATATTTAATTCTAATTAAAATTATACAATGTCGATAGTAAATTCAATAATTGAAAAATTGTAATTATTACATTCTACAATTTTTGTTAGATTTTAAATGCATCGTGAATTTTAATTCATAAACTTATTAATGATTCATAATAGAACGAATAATTTTGAAATGTAGATTGTACTTCAATCCGATTCAAATTTTCTTAAATATTATCGTGATTAATCTAATTATTTATGAACATTTTAACTAAGTAAAAGCAATTGATATGTAAAATTTAGGTCTCATCGGTAGTTTGCTGTCTCATCCATTCTATAACCTTGTTAGTGATTTTATGATAAAATACTTTTTTGCCGTCGTAACGACCAAATTCAACAAAACCCATAAAATGTGAATTACAAATAACAGCCGCAGACATATCCACCTATTTAACACATAACTTTTACAATATTATATTAAAAGAATTTAATTTAATTATGAAATTTCATTTCTTACTACAGACTCGTGTTCTATTGGACATAAAACCATATCTTCTGTGTTATGAGTATGACAAATATGATAAACGCATGGTATTTGGTTAACTAATACATAATCATAATAATAAATATTTTCTGTACTACCTAAGTGCTTTACTTTTGTCCAGTAAATTGTTTCGCAGTTTTCATTTACAGTTTCTTCTGTATTAAACCTTAGTCCACGAAAATCTACAAATAATGTGTATTCAAAAGCTGGTAAGACCTAAAAAATAAAGATAAATAGATCTATGAAATATATATTTAATTAGAAGCCTACTTTATTCAATAAAAACATTTTTTTTTTTTGTATAACTTTTTTTAATTAGTTTTTTGATCCGAATACACTATTCCCCAATAAAAACTTGTATTAATTAACTTAAAAATTTATTAACATGTTTTTTTCAATGATATAGTTTTGGGAGGATTAAGGGGTTAATTATCCTAAAACGAAATATATTAATGCGTTACTATATAATCTTACAACAAAATTGGAAAAAAACTTAGAACCCTTCAAAAAAGCTCAAACAAAATTTATAAATGTTTATAATTAATAGCTCTCATAATTAGCCACAAAAATTGGCTTTTGAGATTTATCATTTTTATAATGAAAATATCATCTTGTTTAACAAAAAGTTATGAATATTATTCATTAAATAAAAAATTATTACTATAACTATATCCAGATTTAAAAGAAAACAGTATAAAAATGGATAAATAAATGATTTATGATAATATACATTTGTTTAATATATGATTTATAAAAAATTTTACAATAATAATAATTATCTAAATTAAATTTTTTTACCATAATTAAAACAAAGTTAGTCAGTGGATCTGGATGGAAGACTGCTTTCATTCCCAAACTTGCTTGGTTTTTGTTCGGATCTAAATTACTCATTATGACATAACCTGCTAATACACGGTATGGATTTTGCGATGACATATTTTTCAAGCTGAATAACAATCAGTAATATTAAATCTTTAAATAATATAATTATTTTTTAGCTTCGATGAGAAACTGAGAAGGTATTAATTTTACTATGTGCTTTTAATTTTGTGCGTGTTACCACTTTTTCTCAGCTCTCGCCGAACCGAATTCTTTTAACGATACGACAAAAGATCAAAAATCGTATCTAGTCGAAGACATTACCTTCAAAAATTGAAAAAAATTCCCTTGTTCCCCGTAAACGGGGAAAATCGCCCAAATAATAACAAATTTAAAAAACGCTAATTTTCGACATTTTTTCAATTCTTTTTACTTAAAACTGCCATAACTTTTCTAAAAATGATCGATTTAATATAATTTTTATAAACTTTCAAAAAATTAACTTTAAAATATCAAAAAAATAGGTTAAAATGATAATTTGCACTGATTATTTTTTAAATATTAAAAATCAAAAATCTGTAATAATTTAAAAACAATGTTTTGTGTTTTTAATTAATTTTTTATCGTAATAAATCATTTCAAAAGAAATATTAATATTTTCTATGTAACTCTTGGTGTTTAAATAGATGATACAATTGAAATATTCAAAACTATTTTCCTTATAGTTATGTCCTATACTTTTTAAATAATTAGTAATAATATTAAAAATTATTGATGATGTAAGACATATAATTGCTGATTTGAAATTAGCATGAATAATTGAATAATAAAAGTATCCTTTTTACTCTGATGAAAATTTTTGGGGATAAGTATAGATGATAATTCACAGAGACTAACACCACTGCCATAAACACGCTTCGGCGTAAATTTGTTAGAAATAATTGTTGGATTATTCTAAAAGCGAAATCAACAACTATTTACTTAAATATATCCTGATTATATGATTAAAATGAAATATATTATGAAATTAATAATTAAAACTTAGTGATATAATTTTTACGGAGAAACTACAAAAATATAGTTTAAAATACTAAAAAAAATACGCTTTTAAAGTATATTTTTTATTACACAAATAGCTACGGTATGTATGTTTTTGGTTAAAATATTATAGTATGTAATATGACTATAATTGTTATGAACTCGATCTCGTTTTCATCAAGGGGAATGACAAACGGCAAGAGACAAAATTATGGCACGTCCGTACAACTCGGTAGTATAGTTGAGAAGAAGTCCCGTCTCTGTAGTGACCGGTGGTTATGACGCCGGGTGATGGTGGTGTACAAAGTAAATGTACTTTGTGCCATATTTTTCGTATATTAAGCGCCCGCTTTTATCACAATAATACTAGTATTTTTCGTTCATTATTGTTTTAAGCTTATTTTAAAAATTATTTTTAACTTTTTAGTTCGATGTGCTTTAAAAGCATGTTTTTTTAGTTTTTTTAAACTACATTTATTAAGTGTTTAACTTCCAAAATACTGTTTCAGAAGTTGTTAAACATATATAATTCCATTTATATAACTAAAAACGTCAAATTTTAAAGGGAAAAAAGAGAATAAAGGAAACTTAATTGATTGTGTTTATTAAAATGCATACAAATAAATAAATTTTAAAAAGAAAAAATCTGTAACGAATATCTCATTTTTTGATGATATTGCATTCACATTGAATAAAAATCTAGTTTCGCCTATGAGAGTTTAAATTTTAAGTAGTGGTGCCGACGGTGTTCAGAAATAATATTTTTATTAATTTTAGCTTTCATTTTTTTCTTATATTTTATCTTATACAAAAAGCACGCGAGTGTTACTTTTAATGTTAAGAACAAATAAGTTTCAAATATTTCTTTTAACGTCTATACTCTATATTCTTGTATAAATAATAAATCTTTACTAATTTTCAGTAATAGGACTTTTATGAGTAAGACACCAAGTTGAAGCGACCAAAATACACGAACTGTAGTTCCAAGGAATTAACAAAATAGCCTGATGAAGTAAAGTGGAAAGAATAAATGTTTAATTAGAAGTTGAAATAATTATTTTAATTGATACCATAAAAGGATGTTCTCCAATGAAAGCAGAAAATTCGAGTTGTGCGTAACATTGATAATATAGAACTGTAAAATAAAAATAATATAAAAATACATGCTCTATAAAAATATTAAGCATTTTGTTCCTATCGTGAAAAAAAAATCCAAATGAATTTTAAAACAATTTCATACGTTATTTATATTAAACTTTGTTTATTTCAGTAACTAACAAAATAATACGTAGAAATGAATTTGTATGTGATATACAAAGTTATTTTTTTTTAATATAATTATTTTTAGCTTTAATGCTTAGTTGAAAAAATATTGTTTTACCTTGTCGTGTTTCTTGATTTTTATTTGCGTTTTTATGAATACTTCGCTATCACTAAATCAATATTGCTTAACAATGTGAAAAATTATTAAAAATTATATTTAACTATCATCCTTGCTAATTTATAAAATTACCAAGTAAAATTAAATATTTCAAAAATAAAAAACGCTTTTAACGTTTTGACGTCCGTCTATTTGTGTCTCGTTACTTTACCTGTACAATGCCAATGTTCCAGGTTGTCACTAACGTTGCTGTTATTTTTCTTTTCTGTGCTATATTTGCAACCCACAGTGTATATAATAAGTATATAAATATATAGATGTAGATATAGATATACTTTTTTTTTTTTAATGCGGTAACTGTATTAATAATAATAGCCCCTATCGCCCCTGTTAATTTAAACGGGAATCTATCCGTGTTGACTTATTCTATCCTTGTTCAAACATCTAGTTTTAATGCAGGAACTAAATCTGTATCCATTTCTGACGCAATGAATTATCTAATAAATATGCAAAGTGATCAAGATTCAAAATTATCGGACATCCAAAAAACGCTTTCTCAATATGGAAAAAAAATTGAAGTTATATTATCTAAAATTGATAATTTGAAAATTCTTTATTGAAAAAATATTATACTAATTTAAAAAGTGATGTCAAGTCTCTTAAATTAAAAATTAATAATTTTGAATGTAAACCCCTTAATTCAACATTATTAGCTCCTGTTGACTTAGTGAAAGAATCACAAGATAGAAGTATTAAAAATCGAAATATTATAATCTATAATATTCCGGATAATTCCAATGAGACCCATGAACAATTATCTAACTGTATTCATCATTTCATTAATAATTTTTCACTATCTATCACAATATTATCCTGTAAACATATTGGTAAATTTAATACAAAACCAAGACCAGTTTTAATTGAACTATTGAATGCTAATGAAGTTCATTCGGTTTTGAAATGTAAACAGACACTACGTAATAATGTAAAATAGAATAAAGTAGGCATATCACTTGATTTGATACTTTACCAACTGAAATTGCTAAATGATTTAAAATCCTTTATTCGCGATAAAAAATTAAATGGAGAGCATAATTGGTTTATAAAATACGTGAATATACACCTCAGCTTTCAAAAACAAAAATATAGTTTAAAGAAAACTAAAAAACACGCTTTTAAAGCACATCGAACTAAAAAGTTAAAAATAATTTTTAAAATAAGCTTAAAACAATAATGAACGAAAAGTACTAGTATTATTATGATAAAAGCGTGGGTGCTTTGTGCCATATTTTCCGTATATAGAGCGCCCGACGATTTCGAAACTTATTCTTGGTCTTTGTATACGCTGAAAAACCAGTTTCACACAAGTAGGAAGTTGCAAATGGCAATAAAACGGTGATAGCCTTTATGGACAATTGTTCGTAATCACTTTCCATGGCGATCCAGAACTCCTCAATTTTAAGTGACTCGAACTTGATTTTCAATTCAGATGAAGATTTTACTTCAAGCAAACTTTCGTATTCAATGGATGATAGTTCTTTTAGCTTTTTCTGAATTGAAAATGGATTTTGTACCCACAAATTATCAGAATCTTCGTTTATTCTTGGAAAGTAGGAAAGTAATCCGGATTTTAAATTGATTAAATGGTCTTTTATTTCTTCTGCATTTATCGGTGTCACTGAGCTCTCATATTCATATAAGAATTTATTCAAGTTGGAGAAACATGAAAAATCATTTTCTTGTACACATTCGACCCAAAAATCCAACTTGCCAATGAAAGCTTTAATCTTGTCATTGGCTTGAAAGATCGAAGTTTCTTTTCCTTGTAAACCCAAGTTTGTTTCGTTTAACTTGTTGAAAATATCAGAGAGGTAAGCTAACTTTATGAGCCAATTCTCATTATGAAACCACACAAAAAGATTTGTTTTCGTATGCTCCTTCAGAAAAACTTTTACTTCATCTCGCAATTCATAAAGTCTTGTTAAAACTTTGCCTCTGGACAACCACCTGATTTCTGTATGTTGTTAAGAACCCCTGAATATTATTTTATAATTGTGTGGAGTATATAATACATGGTCGTCCGACTGTCGTCGAACACAGGAATGTGCTGACCAAGGGTTTTAGGGCAACCATGGGCAAAGGACTCCCACTGTAGGTACCCTACAGTCAGTCGTGGTTTAGTATGTGCTAGTTACACTCATTATATATCATTCTATATCATTCTATGTCNTCATTCTATATCATTCTAAATCATTCTATATCATTCTATATCATTCTATGTCATTATATTTTATTATTCTATTCATTTGTATTAATATTAATAAATAACGTGTATTGTATTATTAATTGTGTCAATCAAATTATATATTCTAAAGTTTTATTGAAAAGTGAGTGTTTTCTTTTTCTTATTAAGTTTAATTCCTTTTACCACGTGGGCCCGCACAACATATTTGGTGGTAGCGGTAATAGAGCGGAAACGTCTTCGAGGGCCTTTCAAAAACTAAAAAGGAAAAAAAATTTTTGGTAAGAAAAACATACATTCATTAAACCGCGTGGAAGCGTCCTTGGTAGATAGGGAATAACCTCACTAGATAATTCTATTTCGTGTGGCAACACTGTTTCAACCGGTTCGACGCCGCCGCCGTGTTTATCAAACTAATACTCCGTTATGTACACCGTCGCGGTCTAGCGGACGATAACTTGACTGTGCCGCCGCCGTGATATAACACGACCACCAGATATCGTGGAAAACATAACAACAATTATAAAGTGACCGTCAAAATAATTAAACAATTTTGAATTTCTACATCGTCGCAATCAACGTTTTAATAAAAAATAATACAATCGATACATTCAAATACAATCAAATTTCTACAAAATCAAGAAGTGAAACTATTCTAATCATCAACGTCGTTCAAGATAATTTTTTTCAAATTCCTTACAAGTCNCAAGATAAATTTTTCAAATTCCTTACAAGCCGTTCAATTCAATTTGAGTCAAGCCATTCCATATCAAGTACAATTCAACTACACTGGTCCAAATAATTCAATTCCATTTCAATAAAGAATCAATTGTTAAATATGAAATATTTGAAANTTGTTAAAAATGAAATATTTCAAAATGATATTTGTCATCATAATGTAAGTTTTTTAAATCCTATACATGCTTTGCGATTGATTTATTTTAATTTAAATAGTAGTACCAAATAAATTTATTTTTAGTAAATTTAATTCTAAATCAAAAGATTGTTTATTATTAAAATAATTTAATTAAAAAGAGAGACAATTTAAATTTGAATTAGTTCAAAAATAATTTAAATATATTATTTTTCTATCTCGATTAAATATTTCAATTTCTATTTTTTCAATTTCAATATTTTTTAAATACTATAATATTTAGTGGGATCAAAATTTTTTTTGGAAAAAAAAAAGATACGAATTTTTATAGAATATTCTAATTTATACCATTTAAAAAAAAAAAAATTTTAATTTAATTTTTACTATCTCTAGTAAATGGTAAGAATTGTACCACTCGCTTACTCGCTCATTGCTAGATAGTGCAGAACTTATTTAAAGTACTTTGTAAACAAAAAAAAAAAATTTTTTTTGAGATTCTAACTCATGCATGATAAATGAGTTGTGAATCAAGTAATAGTTGTTCAAGTGATAGCGATTATAAACCATCGACTCATTCTAAATCCATCCTAATTCCTATTCCAGCTACTCGTTCTCTTCGTTCAAAGTCAAAAGTATCTCGACGTAGTACTAGTGTACCGAGAGATTTAGATAATAGTAAAGATATTTTGAATAAATCTATTCGTGCTATAGGTAGTACGGACAGCCTTCTAAACCATTCCAATTCTTTATTAGACGAATTATTAAGTTCAAACACTCAAACAAATTCTATTCAGACTTCTATTAAATGCAACTCCTATAATCCTATTACTCCTACATCGACTACCAATTCTAACACGTTCATGTCTATTTCTATGTCTGCGTCTACTTCTACGTCCACGTCTATTTCTACATCTGCGTCCATTTCAACGTCCACATCAACTTCTACTTCAACGTCCACTTCTACGTCAGCGTCCACTTCTACATCAGCGTCAACTTCTACGTCAACATTAAATTGTGCAACAGCACCACCTTCCACTTCGACTATCGTTTCTACATCCACTACACCAACTACGTGTTGGTATACGTTAGCGACAAATTACACCCCAGAAGTCAAAACAGCAGGTACAAGTCAAACTCTCACGAAGGTAAACCTAACGAACGCCTTGCACGATTCAGAAACCAAGTGGGGACCTGAAAAAATAAAAGCTAGTGTTTACCCACCTACTAATTTGCTACTCCATCAAGACTATTTGTCTTTAATGGCAGAAGAAGACAATATGCCCTGTGGTAGTAAAACAAACGAGTCAAATAGCAATAGAATGAAGAAAGCAGAAGAGGTGAAAATACCAATGAGTGAAGTAAAAGTGCTCATTGATCAATATATGGAACAATACTTTCAAAATAATTCTAACTCTTTCAACGCCAATCTACATCATCCACCTCCTTCAAACACGCAAATAGGGTTGCAAGACGCTATAAGGTTGCTTCCTAATTCTTTTGATGGAAGAGATGTGGAGCAATTGGAAATCTTTTTGGAAAAATGTGAATTTGCAGTAGAATGTGTAGTACCGGTGGCCATTCCACGGCTACTACGAGCAATTCAAACTCGACTGTCTGGTAAAGCAAGGCAGGTCACAAAATACAAAAGCTTTGAATCATGGGATGATCTTAGAGATACTTTGAAATCGAATTTAGAGCCTCAGAGAACAACCCCACACCTTTATTTGGAGCTATATGCTACAAAGCAATTGCCAAATGAGGACATACTATCATATTCAATGAAAATTGAAAAGCTACAAAATCAAATAATCGAACAGGAGACGTCAGACAAACATCCAGAGGTAGCCAAAGCGATAGAACAAACGATTAATAACCAAGTAATCCAAGTGTTTATGGAAGGACTCGGAAACTTGAAAGACTTTATAAAAGCACGGAATCCTTCAACTCTTGAAAAAGCTATTCAAGCAGCCAAAGAAGAAGAAAGGATAAGACTTTCAAATATAGGAGCAAAACAATATTTGAAAGATAGACCACTAAAAAGTTCTAATTCACAATATTCT